TACTTGTGGAGTTTACAGTGGGGCCATTGAATATGTAATTCAACAGTTTGATGGCTTTTCTTTGTCTTGATGAAAGCTGCACTTTAAAGAACTCAAATCCCCTGCAGTGGGAATTGTCTGCCAGTTTGCTTTCAAAAATGTTTTAGTGTTGATGTTGTTTCAGTGGAACTCTTCCTTTCTTTTATCAAAATAATGTTTTGGAATAGTTTGGCAAAATCGTWTCTCTTATAGCTAGGTCTTTTTGAAGTAGCAAGTTATATCATTAAAAAAGCTCCCATGTTCAAATGGTTAACAAATTACCACAAGGCATTTCTGCATACCTAATTTAGACTTTGTCTTTGTTTAACTCACTAAATTATATGCATTTTTTTCCCTGTCTAGTAGCATTTATTCTGTAAAAATTGAGGTCATGTGTTTGCTGGAATTCATAGTGAGGAAAAACTGGACGAGAATAGCTTGCATATAGAACACAAAACCCAATCTATAAATGAAATAATTTTTATGCCTTAATTAGACCTACATTGTTATTGCTAGCATTCGTATTGTATTTAATTTGTGTTGAGAAGGAAACATATTCCAGCCCAGAATGTATTCCAGCAACACTACAACAAGTACATAAGGTAGCTGTCTACCCTTCTGCTTCAAAAAACTACCAGCTATGTTTTGAAGCAACTTTCAGAATACCAAAAATATATGTACTTGTCTAATACTTTGCTCTCTTGGCATCAACCATTATCTTTCATGAAAAGTAACATGGATAAAAGCTTTAAGTAACCTCACTATTCCACTTCAACTGGATTTTATTTTTTTTTTTAATTTGTTTCACTCCGGGGTCACAATAAAACCTTCGGTTGGGTTTGGTTCTAAGGCAATTACTCTGCACTACTAAATTTATGAACGATGCCTCCACCTTGTCTCTGCAGATTCTTGTTATGATGTATCAGGTTTTTAAAAATGTTTTTGTACCTCTAGAGTCACATCACRGGATTTTAGCCTTTCTACATTAAGCGGTTCCTGATAGCTCCATGCTCATACACTTTAGATGAACAGCTTCTGAAACTTGAAGCAGCTTACCCAGCTGAACTGTTAGCTGATTTTTCTATCACTTCTTAACATCTTTTTCTTTTACTGTCTCAAGTTCAATAATTCTTACTAGTTTTTATCTTCTGATACTTGAAATAATATTAGCTGTTCAAATACTGAAATGTTAATTCTGACAGACATTTTCAGTACGAGTTCTTTTAAGAGCAAACATTCTAATATAGCATTTTTAAACTTCTTTTTTCCTAGTTTCCCTCAAATACGACTAAGCTTTGATGATGTTTTGTTTAAATATCTGTCTGCATGTTCTTCATAGTGTGCTTGCTTTTTCTATTCTGTATTCTAACCAGCATGTTTTCCCTTGTCAACACTTCCCTTGCAGTTTACCTCTTAGAAAGGAATTCACAAGTTTCTGCTCTTCATTTTCAAGATTTTGTACAACCCTCTTGTGCCTACCCATGTTTCATGTCTCTTCATAGCCATCCTCAGTTACTGTGATAGAGTTGCTAGGTTTCAGATGCACTTAAGAGCATCTCCAGTTCACTGACTTTTATTTTACCCAAGTTATATGGTAATGTTTGAGACATTTACACATCACGGTTCTCAAGCTTTTTCAGGTACGTAACTCCAAGGGAGTTGCTTGGTCCATGACAGGAACCAGCTTTATAGACTGTCCAAGTTATTTTAATTCGCTGCTCCATGAAGCAGGTAGAAGGCTACCACCTTCCAGCCTCAAAGGTGGCCTAGTAGAGTCAGGAAAATCCCATGTTAGGTCACCTCGAAGGATGCATCATATTTTCCTGCCAGCCAGATGTCACACGAATCAGCTGGTTTTGTACCTCACAATGCCTTGTGCAGTTCTGATATTTTCTTTTGCTCATTGCCATACCCATGCTCTTGACAGTTCTAGAGTATCTGAGTGACAGTGGCACACAGTGAATGTTTTCAACTGCCTTTCAATATCTGAAGGGTAAAGGTGGGGACAGACTTCAGCTGAGCCTGTTGAGGTAGGACAGGGGATGAAACTGCAGGGGGTATTAAATTGAAGGAGGTTAGATATGATAAAGAAGTTTTTTTACAACAAGGGTGGTAAAACACTGCAGCAGATTGCCCATAGAGCTGGTGGGTGCTGCCCCTTCCCTGCAAACATTCACATCCAGGTTGGATGGSTCTTTGAGAAAYCTGATCTAGTTGAAGATAATCCTGCTCTTTGCAGGAGGGTTGGACTAAATGACCTTTAAAGGTCCCTTCCAACCCAAGCCATCGTGTCTATGATTTTAATTGCTTTGGATGTTGTTTTCCTGGGGAGATTGTACATGTGGAATAGAGTGCCTTCTGACATAAATGCTTTGAACACAATCCCCAGCATATCCCATCTACCACAGATAGATATAAATAGTGTATTCAGTCTATATTCTAGCACTTTATCTGCAGTGGTTGGCTCCTCTGACCAACTGTGCTATCCATGGTTTGAGGGAGTCAAATCTGATCTTTCATCTCCAAAGGAAGATCTCCAGAAATTAAATAGGAATGAGACCTTACTAGATACTTTAGTCTGCCTTCCTACAAACATGTATTTCTATTTGTTGCCAAATACTATAGGAGTTCAGTGATAGATGTTTTATTCATGTGTTTGAACAGAATTCACTGCAGAAGGTTTCTTTTTGATTTCTCCTGCAGGTTTCTTCTGCAGTTATTTTTCCAGGCTCTCTTTCAGTGAGTGTTGAGCAGAGATAGCATTGCTAAGTTGTTACTTTGGCCACGTTAGTCCAGTTTTAGAGCTGTTAGCCATGGCCCATGTTGTCCTATCACTTTTTAAGCCAAAGATCCCACTGAAGCTGGTGTGAACTTTTACATCAGTTACAATATCAGGATGTGGCTCCTTGTACAGGGGAGTCCTCCCTGCCTGGCCACCAATTGTACACAGCTCTCCTCCCTTTCCTTGAAGATAAATCTCCTTATCTAGTTCCTTTTTCTTGACAATAATATTTCAGAGAGAAGTAAAAGAATGAAAGTACTTGTTGGATAAAAATGTTGGCTATTAATTATCACTATTGTGCAGTTACATTCTTGTGTAATTCTTGTCCCCTTGGAGCCTTATTGTACAGATATGTGAAGCTAAGTATTTCCTCCCCCATAAAACAGACATTACGGGTTTTCATCTCATTCATCTGCATAAAGTTGTCACTAAAATGAAAGATTAACAAAACAAAATTCCACCGCTTCCTGAATTCCCAGAGTTTCTTTACCTAATTAGAACATTGCTCACAGTTAGACAGAACACTCTGCAAGTTCCACACTACCTTGATGAGAAAGTGAAGAAGCTTTGCAGAGGTCACACTGACATACTGCTGTATGGGGTTTTGTACGTATAAGCTACATAGCTTGCACGTAATTAACTTACCGTGATGTTATTTGCTGGACACAACATTCTCATGCATATTTTAGTTCCATAAACTTRCGGTGAAAGATGGAAATGGTGTGCATAAACTTTGCAAAAAATCCTAAACTTTATCCTCTTTACATTATAAATTGAAATAATAGGAGAAACACCCTGTAGTGAAATACTGTCTGAGATATAATTTTAGCTTCAGTGTYTGAAAGTGTGGAAATGACAGGAGTGGAAAAGCTCTTGAAGTGACTGCATCTTTTTGAAATTGAAGTCAGACTACATTTTAATCGACTTAAAACATTACAGAAGATATCTGAGCTAGTAGCTTTGGAATGCCTACTTACTTTCTTAAGTTTATCTTGGGAATTAGAGATCATAAATGAACTTCTTAAATTCATTTCTAGAAATCTAGGTACTTTTAAAAATCATGATTGTTGGGGCCTCAGTTCACCCTTATTGGGCTAATAAATACATGTAATTGATTCTAAATTACAAGTTTGATTTTGACCGAAGATATAACTCAAGCTGAAGCAATACATGAGTCTGAGTAATTTTAAAGATTTTAATATTTTAATATTTCAAATTCTTAAATAAACAAAATGCAAGTTCTTTAATTTTGTGACATCCTGTAAGCATATGCAATATAACATGTAAGACATTTTAATTACACAAAGCAGAACTGTTACATATTCTTTGCTGATTACATTGAAACAGATTTCACATTTCTTGTTGCTATAATGGAAATTGGATTGCTTCCACAGAGTAATTTTTTTAAATTGTTTTCCAAGGTGACTCATGAAGTAAAGAGGGAGTGGGGGGAATGACTGTTCTAAGTTGTTCTGAGATGTTATTTGAAGGCTTTATTATTATATTGTACATTAATCAGATATAAAATTAAAGCCCCAAAGCACCAGGCCTGATCTGTGATTTGGTCTGTGACTGAAAAAGGCAGATCCTTGCACTGAGTTCCGAAGGAAGGCTCACAAGTCAAGGATATATTCAAAACACTCAAAAGCTCCTGTGTCTGGTCAGGGGACAGAGAGAAAAGGGACTGAAGTGTTTTGAAAAACCAAGCCAGACCTGCAGAGGAAGCAGCACAGGGTTGATTTTTAGGATAAAGCAAGCATAAGGCCTTCTGCTATATTTAGTTCCATTTCCCTGCCTTYCCCTCCCCCTTCAGTGTCTATATTTGAATTTGAGTTGTAGAGTAAGTTGTCTTTCATTTAAAATAACTTTTTTTCATTTTTTATGGCATCCTAACTTAACAAGATAAATCACTTTTTGTATTGCAGTTGAATATAAGTATGCTTAATTAGTTCTGACTTACCTCTTCTGTTTCAAAGGATTCAGCCTTTATATGATGGAATGTGATTAATAATTACTGTTTGCACTTTTTCTTGCACCTTAATTTGACAATGAATGAATAGTGGTGAATAACCAATTTTTATTATTAGAAATAAATTCCTTGTCTTGCCATCTGGATCTCTGGATTAGTCTTACTCCTATAGAAAAAYTGAGGATGAAAATAGCACTGAATGTTATAATTGTTTAATGTTTGTATTTTCAGGGTCTGCTGGAGGGTCCCCAAGGTCCACCTGGCAAAGAAGGTCAAAGGGTGAGTAAACTTGGTGAACAACTGCTGAGTGTGCTAACAGCTTGATGTGCAACTTCTGCCTAAGCACTAATAAAAAATGGGAAGGTAGCAGCTGAGTATGAAGCATGCTGACAACAAACTGAGCCTTGACACTTGAGGTTTCTCCTCAGTTGAAGGAGATTTAACAATTTCAACCATCTAAAGTGTTTTAATGACTGGCAGCACAGATGTATTATATTGTGTTAGTGCGGTCTGTTTCTGCTGTAGTTTTAAGTGGAATAAACTTTGCAGTTTTCATTTTTTAGCACGGATGAACTATACCTTACAACATCYAACGTATATAAAAATACGAATTTAGGGTTATTGTCTAAATATTAACAGAAACCAGTACTATTGACCCAGGTATTTTAGATGCCATTATGCAAGTGTCAGTGCCTAACATAAAAGCATATGATACAGTAAAGGGGATTGGGGGGGAAGAATATGCCAAATATAAGAAATAAACCTTTGGTTATTCAGAATTTTAATATAAGTAAGTAATTGGCTAACTGGTTTCTCCATGTTCTGTTCTTATTTGCCCTGACTTATGGAATTTGATAATACATTAGAACAAATAACAAATGTTTATGATTGCATGATTGCAAAAATTAATGAAGTTTTGTAAATTTATGATCTAGTATGTTCCTAAAAGTTAGGGAAGATATTAAGACTTTAGGATTTAAATATTTTTATGAGTTAAGCGTATGTCCAGTTTTCAGTTTTGCGGTTGTGTCTCAATAATAATTCTTGTTTTATTTAGGCACCTTGATATTCAGTATCTCAATTTAAATATCTGAAGTAAAAGGATTTAGTGTTTCTCATCATTGATCTCAGTAAACTACAGTGAATTTTTAAAGGCTAATTTAATTATTCCAATATAGTATTAAAACTAACAGAAGACTAGTGAGTAATGATGCCTAGGCCCCAAAGCTRTGTTTAATGTTGGTCTGTAAGTTTTGAAAACAGTACTAAATTCTGTTTAAATTGAACATGAAGATATGAAAGCTGAGTTTATTTAGGTCTCTCATTAAGGATTGAGAACTTGTTCAGAAAAAGTCAGGGTAGTAATGGAGAATCCAAAATTGTGTGATGAGTATGTTATTAAAGCATATTTACTGCCATATTAACATCCTTATGAAGGATTTTATAATTACCATGACTGTTACAGTTATGCAATTAAATATACAGGATACCATGAAAAGATATCTGTATCCAGTTTTATCATATTTTAGAATTTTTCTGTGGAGTATTGAATCTGCAAAAAATACATACTTCTCCTTTAGGAACAGCCATAACTATTCCTGTGTGTCAGAAACTTCACTCTTGGAACATCTTCATTTTTTCATGGAAAAATTCAGTTAACACACTGTATTATATTTAATGGTGGATAAATGGATTTGGAAACACTTCTTAATTTTTTTCCATTTCGCGGTAGAAATTTGTGGGTTGATACACTCATCAYAGGCGTTTTCCTGCTCACTCATAAAACTGAGCTGCTGTCACACTGCAGCATCTCTAAAAACAGGAGCGCTGATGGTTTTGTAATCTCGCCATGCACGCAGCTGCCTTCAGCCAAACAAGGGGAGCAGCAGGCGGTGGAGCCTCAGCATCTGTCTTTATCTCTCTGCCAGTGAGATGCTCACAACAATGCTCCTTCTCTGGCTGCTCCCGCCCAGCCATTAACAACATTGTTGGCACTCTTAATTCAACTCCCATGTGCTTTTCCATTTCCAATACATTTAATTACACAATAACATACCATTTGTAACAAGATCTCTGCTCTGTTTAATGACAAACAGGACAGTGCACATCTAATGGCTATTAAATGCTCCTTTTTATTCAATTATAGATGTCGTGTTCCTCTGTTCAACTTCCARCAGATCCTCCAATTCTTTCACATTATACGAAGTTACTGCATTTCTCATGGGCTGTCTTTTGAAGATTAAAGCATGTTATTGAGTGTGTAGCCAGCTAATATTTTTTTCTCCAAGTATTATTCAGACCTGAAATTGATATTGTGTCCATTCTGAAGACTGGAACTGTAACATATTAGGGAAAAAGAAGCCACTTCAGAAACACCTGAGAGTATCTGTTCAGTTTGGATGCCACACTTTGAGAACATCAACTTTTTTTTTTTTTTTTTTTTTTTTTTTTTTTTTTTTTTTTTTTTTTTTTTTTTTTTTTTTTTTTTTTTTTTTTTTTTTACTAATTTCCATTCATGCTGTACTTGCTATATTCAAAATTTTAATTTCCACTTAGGAACATTTTTAAGTGTTCAACTCCTTTGAAAATTGGTCTTAGGTTAGTGAGGAGTTGAGAGGGGAATCATGAAGTGTGTAACCTACAGACCTCATAAKACACGTTGAAGCAAGATGTAAAGAACTGGAGAGAATTAAGGAGAGTGTTAAGGGGGTAATTGAAGAAACATAAAAGGTTCATGTAAGAGCTAGTAACAGGTAAATGGTAACAGAAAATGAATAGAAAGGTAAGGAAAACAGCATGCATTTTAATTTTCAGAGGGTTTTAAGTGAGGTTGTATTGCATCAATCCAGATAAGGGTTTAATATTAGAACAACTAAGAAATACCAAAAGTGCCCTGTCCCAGAGCAGGTACCCATCTCCCTGCATTCACTAAAGAGGGAACTAGGAAAATTATACCCCTATTAAGMGGAATAAGTCTGAGTATTAGTATTTCTTTCACCTTACAGGAGTAATCCGCATTAAAAATTAGATCATAAAAATACATATAATAATTAATATGGAAATAGAATACATGTAGTTATAATAAACATAAAGATAACTAACTGTAGTTTTTGAGTCGAAAGTTACGTCAACCTTAAAATGCCTACTGACATATACATCAAATAGGTTTAGAAAAGCAAATTTACATCACCACTTAATTAGATGATGTCAGTGGTTTATTTATTTCAAATGAAAGGGGGATCAATACCTTTTTTGTAATAAAGTGGTAACAGCTTTTGTCTGATAGATGCACTGTAGATAAGAGTTATGTGGTGCATGGTTATTAAAATACTGATTATGTCATTTTATGTGTCTTGGTGATCTGATGTATTACTGCTGTATGATCACCCTGGGTTATAATCTTGCTCCTGCATCAAAGAGCAGTTTAAGTTCTTACTTGTTTTAAATGATGGTCAGCAATGGAAATTGATGGCAGAAGTGAGAGAAATATTTTCTTAGTTGGTCTCCCTGATGCCTTTCAGATGTCCTAAAGAGTAAACAGGTCTGCAGAAAGTGGTATACTAGTATGATGAGTTTACAGAAATGTAGTGTGGGGAGATCATTCAGAAGGAGAGAAATGAAGCCCTTAGAGTTCTTTGACTGGTTTTGTGCAGCATTAAAGGACCCTGTGTCAGGATGCATGTTATATTTTTTGGCTCTCTTTAAGAGAAAATTGTGAACTTGCTAAAAAGTTGAAGTAATGGAGTCATGGAGAACAGTTAGTGTGATGATAAATAAAAATTGGATTCGTAAGCATTTTGTTTCTCCCATACTGCTCTAGTAGCAAAATGCATAAATACTCCTTTTCTGAATAAGAAAATAGATCAATAGTCTAGCGTTTATCAAGAGTATTGGTTTATATTACAACTTGGCCATATTCCGAGAACACACAGTGAACTTATTTCGGATTCTTCAGTCAACCTGTGACTTATATAATTCTCATTTAAAGGGCATCTGTATTGTGATAGAAAATTTGACCTTGTTCGCTGAAGATACTATGAGCTTGTAGTGCCCTTATGTTTCTCCTTGGCCAAGATACCCCCTGCCATTCACATCTGTTAGTCAATGCTGAGCTCTTGGGCTTTCCTGTGGGCTCAAGGAGCCCTTAAGCATTTGCTCTTTTAAAAGGTCAGTGTTTCCTCTTGCTCTGAAAGTAGTGACTTTGTATAACGTTTTCGGGTTTTTTATCCTGATTGAAGTGGTTTGTTAGACATGAGACCTTGCTCAGTGGGAGCTTCTGGTTTTAGTTCTGGTCACTGAAAGAAGTGGGCCAGAAACAGCTTCTCATTCCTGCATGAGAAATTCTAGACAACTCTGTGGGCAGGAACTGCGTCCATCCATAGTTCAGGGTCCATCACATTGGCTCCAGTCAGGCATGTTACTGCTGCAGCAACTTGATCCTATTGCACAAGTGCTCAGAATGACATCAGGAGCTTCAGAAGGTTATTGCACATTGCTCAGAAAAGTCCCTGTTCCGATATTACTGACTCACAAGAAATATTAAGATCAGGTACTAACCTAGCATTGCATGGAATTTAAACCACACTGGGCACCTGTGCCATCTTCATAGATCCCTGTGTTATGCAGAACTATTATTTTTCTCAACAATCCTGCTCTTTCTAGGTGAGCACATCTTTTGCAKAAGTCCAGTTTCCACTTGAAAGAGCATCAATGACAGATTCTTTGTACATCTTCTTGATTTCTTTCTTCCAGTATTTCCTGTCAATCCCACATTTCAAAATATGCATTTTGTATATGTATTGCCTACACTGAGAATGTAGCTAATCCTCCACTACCCTCCAACAACTGATTTTTTTAATGCCTTCTTTATATTAGAATGGTATTTAGATTTTTTTTCTCTATAATCAAATCACTATTTCATTAATTTTTTGAAAATACTCAACTAGGAGCCTTCAGCTCCCATGCAAAAAATTTCTAAAGTCTTCAAATAATTTTATCATGTTGCTGTGTATTTGTAAAAATTTCTACTACCTATAGTTTACAGGCTGGATGGATTTTTCCAGACTCTGCCTTTRCTATGCAGTGAAGTTTATATTTCCAACATAAAATTCCAAATGTCTCACAATGTTTAATTCCAGCTGGATATCTTTTTAGCAGCCATTAGATTTTCCCTGAACCTGATGCATACTTACAGATATTGCTTTTTCTGAAAATTATTCCATTTTTAAAATATGACATATTTTAAAATACTGGATTCCAGAAATTTTCTTCATGTGAAG